AACCTTACTTGTAAGGAATGCTGGCACTGCAGGCTGAGGTTTGGTGTGCTATGACACTGCTCGCTCCCATTTTCCCTTTTATATGGTTGAACCCTCTTTATTTTTCTTTTGTGTTTGAAAATTTTTTGCTGGATATAGAATTCTAGCCTGACCACTTTTGTCCTTGTGGAACGTCAAAGATGCTGTTCTGTGTTGTTCCCTGCTGTGTGTTGTTTCCAGTGAGAGATCTCAAGTCATCCAACTTGCTTTCTCCATGCCTTTTTTTCTCACCGCTTTTAAGATTACTCCTTTATCTCTGGTTTTGAACAGTTTGATTTTGCTGCCCTGGGGAATGGCTTTCTTCATGTTGTCTTTCCTTAGGGTTTATTGAGATTCTTGAATCTCTGGGGTTATATTTTTGGTCAGTTCCAGGAAATTTTTGTCCATTGCTTTACTACTTCAGGTACTGCCTCTTTTCTCCTTTTTTCTTCCCTCTTTTTCTGCCTCCCACATTTGGGATCTTCAGTTACATGTAGTAGTTGCTTGAAGTTGTTCCATAGCTTATTCATGCTCACTCATTTTATTTTTTTGAAAATCAGAGAGAGAGAAGTAGAGAGAGATCTTCCTTCCATTGTTTTACTCCCCCCAAAGACTGCAGTGATTAGGGCTGGGCCAGGTGGAAGTCAGGTGTTTGACATGGTTGCAGGGGCCCAAGCACTTTCCCATGTGTATTAGCAGGAGATGGATCAAAAGTGGAACTGTCAAGACTGGAACTGATAGCCATATGGGATGCTGTTATTGCAGGCAGCAGCTTAACTTGCTTTGCTACGTGCTGGCTCCTCAGTTTAAAAATTATTTTTTCTGGGCCCGGCACTGTGGCCTAGTGGCTAAAGTTCTCGCCTTGAATGCACCAGGAGCCCATATGGGCGCTGGTTCTAATCCTGGCAGCCCCACTTCCCATCCAGCTCCCTGCTTGTGGCCCGGGAGAGCAGTCGAGGACAGCACAAAGCCTTGGGACCCTGCACCTGTATGGGAAACCCGGAAGGAAGTTCCAGGCTCCTGGCTTTGGATCGGCACAGCACTGACCATTGCAGCCACTTGGGGAGTAAATCATTGGACGGAAGATCTTCCTCTCTGTCTCTCCTCCTTGCTCTATATAAATTACTTTGCAATAAAAATAAACAAATCTTTAAATTATTTTTTCTTTTTTTCCCTTTGGATAGCTCTCAAGTTGACTAATCCTATCTTCAACAGCATCAACTTTTTCGATTAACTTCATCAGTGGTTTTTATATGTCTTTAAGGTTTTTTTTTATTTGCAGAAGTTTGATTTGGATTTGTAAAAAAAAAAAATCACTTGCATATTATATTCATCCTTTGAACATACAGAATACAGTTGTGACAGTGTTAATGCCCTCTACTGATTGTAATGGGGCTCTAGGTAGATGCTGATTAATCTTCTCATTTTGTGTCTTTTTTTGTCTGCCTATTTGTATGCCTGCTCATTGTTGTTGGGACACAGCACCCTGATTTTTGAGTGCCGGCTTGTTGAATGCCGGCTACTTTGGTGTATCTGTAGATCTTTTTCATTTTGTTTTAGGACACGGTTGAGTTAATTGGCAATAGCTCGAGCCTTCTGGGACATGGCGTTTGTGGAGGATCTGGTGAGCGCCTTCCTGAGCGTGCTGCCCAGGGCTCCAGGTTGCGGGTCACTGCACGCTGGCTGTGCATGGGAGGACTGCTCTTCCTAGCTCTTGGAGATGTGTCCCCAGGCTTGAGCAGCTTCCTCCCAGCCTGTGTTGTGTGTCTGGAAATACTCCCCAGCAGCTCCTGCTTGCCCCTCTCTGCCCACTGGGGTGCTGATGGCGGAGCTCAGGGCCTCTCTTTCCCAAAACTGTCAGCTCACAGTCTCGGCCGAGAAGTGCTCTTGGCTTCACGTTAGTTCTCCCACCCTTTTCTGGCCTGAAAACCCTAGGCGGTGAACTTGCAGGGCCCACTCAGTTTGTTTCCTGTTCTTACCGATCACTGCCTTGTGTTGCCTGATGTTCTGTGGAACAGAGGCTTCCTGTGGTTTGTGTTTTACAGTTGTTTTTCTGTCTTGGGCGGTAGCGGAAGCCCCTACAGGATTTTATGGGTGAAGAGTGACAGGCCGTCCTAACATTCACCTGTGAAAGGAGACTCACAGTAGCTCTGCACGTTTTATAGTGGAAGAGCAGCAGAGAACACTGCCTTTTCACATGTCACCATATCACAAAGCCGCAGACACTCGGGCGGTTCGCGCTTTCTGTGGGAGCACGCACATAGACAGGGAGAAAAATGCAGTAGACGTGTGTACCCAGACACGCTTATTATATATGTATGCCTTTGTAACAAAAGGGGCATTTTAAGCTGAGGAAAGGAAACCATTAGGATAATTCATTATCCATTTGGGAAATACAAGTAGATCCTGAAAACTCCATGAGTTCATCAGAGTATCTTTTAGCAAATATTCAAACTAGTTGTGGCTCGAGAAAGATCAGTGCTTGCTGTTGGATAAGTTTGAGTCACGAGGTTGAATGGGAGTGTGGGCGCTCGGCATTCCTTTGTAGGGTGTAAGCTGACTCTGTTTCTTCTGACCAGTAAGAAGCAGGTAGGCATGTGAAGGGAGGATATACTCTGTACTCTTTATTAAAAAAAAAAAAAAAAGGTTTTTTTGGGCCCAGCGTGATAGCCTAGTGGCTGAATCCTTGCCTTCAATGGACCAGGATCCTGTATCGGCGCCGGTTCTAATTCCTGCAGCCCCACTTCCCATCCAGCTCCCTGCTTGTGGCCCGGGAAGGCAGTGGAGCATGGCCCAAAGCCTTGGGACCCTGCACTCACGTGGGAGACTCAGAAGAAGCTCCTGGCTTCGGATCAGCACAGCACCGACCGTTGTGGCCACTTGGGGAGTGAACCAGCAGACAAAGGATCTTCTCTCTGTAAATAAAAATACATCTTAAAAAAAAAGTTTTATTTTCTTTATGTGAAAGGCAGAGGAACAGGGAGAGAAGGGTCTTCTGGTTGCAGGCGTGAGACATGCTCACGTGGTACATTGCCGTTGCAGCCTGCGGCTTCATCTGCGGAGCAAAAACTGCCTCCATTGGCTTTCCTCTTAAGGTGGCAAGGCGTATGATTTTCTTCTTTCACTCACAACCTCCAGAGAGTCTGAGGAATAATTTTTGCTGAAGACAGTCCTGAATAGTGGAGGGGCCTACCTGAACAGTCTAAAGAAGCAGTAGAGGATGGACATTTAGAGACAACTAGAAAATTGCCCCTTCGCCATTTGGAACATGTTTCTAATGGATTGAAGCTGGGAGCTGGCATTGTGGATTACAGGGAAAGCCATAGCCTACAGTGCAGGCATTCTGTAGGGGTGCAGGTTCAACTCCAGCTGTGCCATGTCCAGTCCAGTTCCCTGCTGGTATGGCTGGAAGGGCAGCGTAGGATGGCTCAAGTGTTCGGGCCTCTGCACCCATGTAGGAGACCCGATGAAACTTCTACCTTCAGCCTGGCCCAGCCCCAGTTGCTGCGGATGAAAGATCTGACTTTAAATAAGTAAAATAAATACTTAAAAAAAATGATGAGCTGGGAGCAGATTTTGTGGAGTGGCGGATTAAACTGCCGCCTGCAGTGCTAGTATCCCATTTCCAGTACATGTCCCAGACACTCTACTTCTAATCCAGCTTCCTGCTCCTGGGAAGGCCTTACATGATAGCCTCTGTCACCTACTTGAGTGAAGCTTCTGGCTCCTGGCTTTGTCCTGCCCCAACCCTGACCCATTGCAATCATTTGGGCAGACGGAAGCTCTCTGTCTCTCCTTTTGTATCACTTTACCTCTGCCTTTCCAAAATAAAATCTGTAATTGTTAGCTGTATACATAGGAGAACCGTAAAGACTTTTAACCCAGTGAAAAATAAATAATAGAAAAATGACAGATCACATCATCAGAAAATCCATAGAAGATTCCAGATGGATTATAAGCCTTAACATGTTACTTGCTTTTGGACCAGAGCCATGGTACATTAAGCTGCCAGCACCATAGTGACAGTGGTTCAAGTCCCGGCTGCTTCACTTTGAATCCAGCTCCCTGCTATGGTCTAGAAAAGAATTTGAGGATGGCTCAAATCCTTGAGCCCTTGTGCCCACATGTAAGACCTGGAAGAAGCTCCTGGCTCTTGACCTCAGATTGGCACAGCTGTAACCAGTGCAGTGGTTTGGGGAATATGCCAGCAGATGGAAGATCTCTGTAACTCTGCTTTTCAGGTTAATATATGTATATATGTGAATATATAAGTTTATGTATGTTTTCTTTCATAATTTGAGGAATGCAAAGTGGCCAGTGCGGAGGACGTTGGTGCTGTCATGTGCCGTTGGTTGCAGTTGGCAGTGTTTGGTGGAACAGGTCACAGTTAATGATGTGGTACCTCTGATTCAGTAGTTCCCTTCTTAGAAATGTGAAAAAATAATCACCTGTGGGCTAAGTGACACCTGAACAAAATATTTATTGTGTCATTGTAGTGGCTGAAGGCTGTAAATTGTATCAAAAAGGGAACTTTTTCTTTTACAATCTTGATGCTTTCATGCTCTGAAAGCCATGTAGCTGTTAGAAAAATTTAAGTGGTTCTGTATAGACAGATGTAGGCAACTCCTTAGGACCTTCTGTTAAGTCAGAAAAAAAAAAGATTACAAAGTAGCATATATGGAAACAGTCCATTTATGCAAGAAATCAAATCTAAAGTGTGTGTGTATTGAGGTATGCAATTCTTGTTTTTGTTTGTTTGTTTTTAGGTATGCAGTTTGGTTTGAGAAAGCCATGGAGCATAGATAACCGTCCTGTTTACAGTGTCTGGCTAGAGAAGGCTGTTGGGGAATGCTGTTTAGCCGATGTACTTCCTTGTGGTTTAGATTTTTTTTTGCAATGAAACTTAATGTCTACATTGTTAATTGTATTATCTAACATTTCTGGAGTATAAATAATCTAATCGTTTGTGTTTCTTTTGTTAGGATTGGCCCAAAGGAAGATTTTTTTCACTGTTTGAAATGTAATTTATGTCTAGCCATGAATCTTCAAGGAAAACACAAGGTATGTAATTCAGTATGGATAATTTTTATAGTGCTTTGGAAAAGCAGTTTGAATGCTAGTATGTTTTGGAAGCATGCTAATTTTAAGATATTTCCAATAGCAGCTGTATTTGTTGTTTTCTAGAAAGGCACTATTAAGAAATAGGGTCTCTAAAATGTATGCCTCAGAACATACAGTCTGCAGTTACCTATGTTATTAGCAAAATGTTGATGACCTCTATGTGTGATTGCTCAAGGAGAGGGCCGTGTTGCCTGGAGAGTATATCCAGCCATTTCCTTAGCACTCCATTGGATTACTGCAGAAATGTGATGTTGGATGAGGCCTGCCCTAAGCAGTGAAGTGGTGAGGAAAACTGAGCTGGATGATGCTGAGAGGGTATTAAGGGAGGGGAGTGGGGCTGAGTCAAGACAAGATTCAGCTTTAGGTACTTGATCAACAGACTGGCGTTTTGGAGATAAAAGACTAGATTTTGTAAACTGGAGTTTAGGGTAACAGGAAGATATGCTACCAAGGATAGCCAGTAGTAAAGAACCTCTTAGAGATTGCATCCAGTGGTGTTTTGACTTATAGAATGTGTAATCAAGTCATTGGATGCTCACCTCAGTATTTGCATTTCATTAACTCAAAAATGCCTTTAAGGGCCTGGTTCAATGGCTCAATTAGCTAACTTTGCCTTGCAAGCACCTGGATCCTATATAAGCACCTATTCATGTGCTGGCTGCTCCACTTCCATTCAGCTTCCTGTTTTTGCCCTGGGAAAGCAGTGTAGGATGGCCCAAAGCCTTGGGACTCTGCACCTGTGTTGGAGCCCCAAAAGAAGCTCCTGGCTCCTGGTTTCAGATGAAGTGGCTCAGCTCTGGCTGTTGGGGCCATTTGAGGAGCGAACCAGTGGATGGAAGATGTTTCCTTCTCTGCCTCTTCTCTGTAAATCTGCCATTCTGATAAAAACTAAATGAAGGGGGCCCGGTGGCATGGCCTAGCGGCTAAAGTTCTGGCCTTGAACGCTCCTGGATCCCATATAGGCGCCGGTTCTAATCCCGGCAGCTCCACTTCCCATCCAGCTCCCTGCTTGTGGCCTGGGAAAGCAGTCAAGGACCGCCCAAAGGTTTGGGACCCTGCACCCGTGTGGGAGCCCAGGAAGAAGTTCCTGGATCCTGGCTTTGTATCAGCATAGCATCGGCTGTTGTGCTTACTTGGGGAGTGAATCATTGGACGGAAGATCTCTGTCTTTCCTCCTCTCTATATATCTGACTTTCCAATAAATAAATAAAATCTTAAAAAAAAAAAAAAAGAACAAAACTAAATGAAGGAACTAAGGGGACACCCTAGCTGGGTGTCCAAGGAGCGCATGGGCTGGAATTGGGGCTGCATTCTGATCAGGATGTGATTGTAATCTCACTTGGCACAAGTGTGGACTGGGACTGGAAGCACCAAGCCAGGCCAGACTCCAACACCATCTGGTGCTCTGGAGGACTGGGGAGAGATGTGTGACAGACTAGGCTAGATCTCAGCCCTTACTGAACCATGTGTGAGCTGAATGGGGGTATGGAAGAGCCGTTGCTGGGTTGAAACATCCAACAGTGAGAACCAGATTGGGTTGAAGGCTAGTCAGGAAAAGCCACTGTTCCTGCTAGGACAGGAGGTGAACTGAGTAGGGCTGGCTCATGGACCCACTGGTATGTGCAAAAACTGGTAATGGGAGAGGTTCTGATGGTGGAGCCTGGGCAACTTCTCTGGCAGGACACAGTCCCTGCAGGTAAGCACAAGAAGCACAATAGGGAACAACCCAGAACAGGCAATGGAAATTATCCCACTGGCATACACATGGCATGGGTTAGGGGCAGACCAGGCTGAACCTGTTCACATTACCTACTGGTGAATCTGAGCAGCAGAAAAGAGTGTGGGTTGAGCCAGGTTCGGTTGCAACACTTACCAGTACACAACAAGTAATGCCAAGGTGAGATGAGCCGTACCAGATGTGTTTGCAGCATCCAAACAGCACATGCGATAATCACGGGGAGGAGGCAAAGCCGACAGGGGAACATGGGTACCCCTGCTGGACAACTACTTCCATTGGAAAGCATGAGTTGGGATGGGGGCATTTCAGACTAGGCAGGGCTATACCACGTGTGGGCCTCACGGTGAGCTGACTGTTCCGAGTGGTGCAAGCAAAAATTAGAGTGGTTGAGGGTTGTTTGGGCTTAGCTGCAGCATTAGCTGGCAGAGGCTGGCACTGGGAGCTAATTTTGTCAAGTCAAATGCCAGAACCACCTGGAGACTGCATACTCTGGGAGTAGGTGTGGCCTAGTAGAGAAATAGTGGCCTCCCTCAGAGTTACCACCCTCACTGGACAGCACGAAAACCAGGATAGGGACAGGGGTGGCTAGACAGAAAGGCACCTGCCAGTAGTGTATGGGCTGGATAATAGGTTGGTTGGGTTGAACTAGGCTTCGATGTCCACTGACACGTGTGAGAGCTAAATGGGATGTGGGACAGACTGGACAATTCTGCGGTACATACTGGCAAGCATGGGAACCCGGGTAGGGGGCAGAACTGGTAGGGGTTTTGGGGAGTTGCCCCAACTAGGCTGCAGCTCCAACTGGTTTGCATGAAGACCGAGTATGAAGTGGGTAGGATTGAGCTGGACTACAACACCCGTTGGTTCACAAGGAAGAAGGGCTGGAAACAGAACTGACCCAGCGATCACAACGACCAGCATGTGCATAAGCTGAATAGGGTGACGGGTGGTGTTGGAGTCTGTACTAGCAAACTCACACAAGAATCAGATCTGGGATCATCTCAGATGAAGTTTCTTTGGAGATCCCTCCAACTGCTGATCTTGGAACCCCAACCACCAAGAGACTGTCAGTCTGTGGACTCGGAATAGGTTTCATTGCGATTGGGACTGTGAGATTGGCAGCAATCCAGAACTGATGAACTATCAAAACTGTATGAGCAGGACCCTTGGAGCGCGCCTCCTGTTGGGGATTGGGGATGGGTGGGAGGTTGGGTGGGGCTTTTCCCTTTGTTACTCCCCTAACCCCAGATACAGGGAAAAATGATTATATTAGTGTGGAAACAATGATATTACCCACTTTAACCCCATAGCCCTTGACCCTTTGTACCCTAATCAACTAAGATTATTAAAATAAAATTAAAAAATTAAGAGATTACAAAAAAAAATTGCCTTTGATTACCACATATATTACAGTTGTAATGATTTTTGTTTTTGGAATGCAGAATAACAGGAGAGATAGAGATAACTTACATTTGTTGAGTCACTCCCCAGATGGCTACCACAGCTGTGACTGGGCCAGGCCGTAGCCAGGGGCCAGGAGCTTTGGCCAGGTCTTCCAGATGGGTGGCAGGGGCCCAAACAATTGGACCATCTTTTTTTAAAAAATTATTTATTTAGTTTTGTTTGAAAGTCAGATCTACAGAGAGAAGGAGAGACAGAAAAGAATGATCTTCTGTTCTCTGGTTCACTCCCCAAGTAGCTGCAATGGCTGGAGCTGAGCTGATCCAAAGCCAGGAGTCAGGATCCTCTTCTGAGTCTCCCACGCAGGTGCAGGGTCCCAGGGCTTTGGGCCGTCCTCAACTGCTCTCCCAGGCCACAAGCAGGGAGCTGGATGGGAAGTGGAGCAGCTGGAACGCAAACTGGTGCCCTTATGGGATCCTGGTGAATGCAAGGTGAGGACCTTAGCCTAGATGAGGACTAGGGTACAGTGCCAGAGCCTCGGACCGCCTTTTGCTTCAGAAACGGAACATCTTTAAGTGGTACCCGTGTGAGAGGCCTGGTTGTGTGCCGTGGCTTGACCCACGCCGCTGCACCAGAAGGCCAGCCCCACAGAGGCTCAAGTGTTTGTGTTTGTCTGAAGCCCAGTTGACAATCAAATGAAGTATTAGAGTCACTTTATGAATAAGACCAGAGAAATGATGGTTTGTCTAAAATTCTGAAGATTTGTAAATAACAGACCTGGGATCATAATCCAGATTAAGTTTATTGTTTTGAGCGGTTTTCTATATATACAAGCACAGATGTATTTAAAGTATAATTCTATATATTTAAAATGTAGTATCTAAATATGTTAGATAGATTTGTAAATATGTGCCATGGATTCTTATATAAATATATATTTATATGTATTTAATAGTACATATTACTAAATACTGCATTGCTTCTGTGGTATTTTAATGTTGTCGTTTTTCAGTTTTCTTTTATTTCCTACGTTGGAAAATGGTCCTGCCGACCGCTTAACTACTTCTGTTACAAACGGGAGTCTAGTGCGGTGCTTCTTTTGCTTGTCTCTTACCGCTAATCGAATGCTCCAGTTTGTCAAGATGAGAACTTAAGCTCTGGAGTCCGTGTGCTGGGCTCGCACTCAATTCCACCTCTTACCGGTGTGAAACTGTGGATGCTAGCTAGCTTTTTTAGGTCTCAGATATTTACCTGTAAAATGCAGTAATAATTTTGTTGCTTTGTCTGGCTTAGAGTTGAATTTAGCCTACAACATGTTCTTATTAAGTAGCTCTGCCTATTATTTTAGGCTAATGGCTTTGAAATAAAATGCTGCCTGGGAAGGCCCCCTGATCTTGTGATCTTTGCATCTTTGTGACATGGTGGCTCCCTGCGTCAGTGCCCTTCCTTGTAAAATGAGCCTAATCTGAGTAATTAAGATTGAATGGTAATTTGCATTCTTTCACATAATGTGCCAAACATGAGAAGGTAAAGAGTTGAAGAGCTGTTGAAAAACAGAACACAGCTCCTTTGTGGCATGCAGAAAGCATGCGTTGATGTAAGCTGTTGTTTTTCATAAGTTGGAATTTATTGTTAGTTTTTATTAATGTCGCTGCGATGTGCCATGTGAAAATGTGGCATAGTCACCTGGGTAAGCTTTTTTTTTAATGTGAGTTCTTTTTTAAACAGTGCATTGAGAATGTTTCCCGGCAGAATTGTCCAATCTGTTTGGAGGTAAGAGTTAGACATCTTTGTACAGTGCCTCCTAAAGCCCCGGCGGTGGTGTGTTCTAGAAGCACTAATGTTTTCTCCCCTTCAGGACATTCACACATCCCGTGTGATGGCTCATGTCTTGCCCTGTGGACATCTATTACACAGGTAAAATAACAATCCCACCCTCCCCCCCGCAAATAAAATTTGAAAATAGTGCACGCTGTTTTTGTTTTACTGAAATAATGTTATGTTTTCTTTCAGAACATGTTATGAAGAAATGTTAAAAGAGTGAGTGTTTAAAGAGATTTTATTAACATTTGTGATTAGTAGGGGTGGGGAGGGGGCAAACATTGCTGTTGCTTACACTCTGCTGGGTTCGGGTATGTGGGCTCGATGGGTAGCGGTACGTGGGACAGAGCATCTTGGTTAGGGCTAAAGGAGTACACCTCTGACACAGACACCTGTTTGCTTGCTGTTCTTCTTAGGAACGGTCTTTGCCAGACACGGCATTAGAAAAATGTGGTAGAATGTTGCTTAGAAATTTTTTATACAATTATATTGGTCCGTTACAGTGAACTACAGAGGTTAGAAAAGAGGTTATTTAAAATGGGGACTGCCATGAGATGGAAAGGATTTTGGAAAGTGGTGACTCAATTAATTTAGGTCCTGCAAATGATGAGCAGAAATTTTCATGTAAGAGCCAGATATAGGGAAACTGTCCCAAAAGTTTTAGAAAAGAAATGGTAATGATCTGAATACATTTTAAGGAATAGAATCTCTTCTTTGAATGAATAGATTCAGAAATTGTGGTTGTTTAGCCAAGGAGTAGTTTAATCGTTTCTCCTAACTGCCTGGGCTATGTTTTATAAAGAATATAGACTAATTTCTCTCTATTTTAGAGAACTGAGTAGAGAGTAGGTTTAAAAAATATTACAAGAAATTTTTTTTTAAAAGACGTATTTGTTTTTATTGGAAAGTCAGATATACAGAGAGGAGGAAAGATAGAGAGGAAGATCTTCTGTCTGATGATTCACTCCCAAGTGGCCACAACGGCCAGTGCTGTGCTGATCCAAAGCCAGGAGCTTCTTCCAGGTCTCCCACGCGGGTGCAGGGTCCCAAGGCTTTGGGCTGTGCTCCACTGCTTTCCCAGGCCACAAGCAGGGAGTTGGAAGGGAAGCAGGGCTGCCAGGATTAGAATCGGCACCCTATGGAATCCCAGTTTGTGCAGGGGGAAGACTTTAGCCACTGGGACACTGCACCAGAACCCCACAAGGAATTTAATTGAAAACTATCATAATGTGAAGGTTTCCTAGGTTTTTTTTGAAATTTATTTATATTTATTTAAAAGGCAGAATTACAAAGAGAGAGAGGAGAGACAGTGAGAGAAAGAAATTTTGCATTAGCTGCTTTACAGCCCACATGGGTGTAATGGCCTGAGCAGGGCTGCTCTAAACCAGGAGCTATGAGCTTTCAGGTCTCCATGTTGGATGCAGGGGCTCGGGTCCTTGGGCCATCCTCTGCTGCCTGCCCAGACACATGAGCAGGGAGTTGCTCTAGGAATAAAGCAGCTAGGTCTCACACCGGCGCCCTCACGTGTTTTAGCAAGCTACACACACAGCACCTGCCCCATCCCAGATTCTAAAGAGATTATCTTGTAATAATTGCAAGATAATCGCACCTTGTCTTGGGTAGTTTATCTGCCGGTTGGCTTGCTTCATCTGTGTCATCGAGGTGATGTACTCTGGTGTCTCTCGTAGTGGGTACCGCTGTCCGTTGTGTATGCGCTCTGCCCTGGATATGACCAGGTACTGGAGGCAGCTGGATGACGAAGTGGCACAGACGCCGATGCCCTTGGAGTATCAGAACATGACTGTGGATGTGAGTAGGAAAAAGGCTTCAAATCTGCCCGGGTTCCTTGTTGTTTGTTTTTGTCCTTTTGCCCAAATGTGTTTTAAAAATACTAGATTCCAACATGATGAATTGTGGGAATGACAAAATGATCTTTAAATTGTAATTATGCCCAGACCAGAAAGAAAAAGTCAGTGCGTTTTTTTCCCAACACTAGATGGCAGACAGAATCTTCCTTCTGAGCTATCTGCAAGTTACTTGCCACAGTTAGTCACTGGTCTGATGTTTTAATTGTCTTCTGTTTTTGTTATCTTAAATCCTATTTCAGGAGAACATGATTGGTGATTTGGAGTTCCTTTAGGATTTTTAATGTTCACTGCATGTTTAGTTGTTAGACTTTATTTCGTCTTGATTGTCCTGCAAGTACAGGAAGTAGTTTTGTGTCTTTTGCTTTATGGAGAGTGGTCACCTATTTTCATTAATTGAGACATGCTGTTGTGTTTTATCAGCATAGTAGCAAGTTACATATTAGAATCAGAAAGCTAAACAGCTGTGGTTCTTTAGTAATTTTTGAGCTTAAATTTTCTGATTAACTGCTTCAGCACACAAGGCTGAAGACCATATAACATAACAAGTAAAATTAGCTGTTTTGTTCACACTGGATATCATGATTCACGTGACAATTGCATTGTTAGTAAGGCCAGTGGAAAATCACTGCGGATTATAAACTGCTAATCATGAGATGTTTCACTGGGGCTGAAGTGGGCTATGTTCATGGGAGTAACGGTTTGGATTACGCTTTGTTAAGAACGATTCACACCATCTGACTTGTTCCTCTAAAGTGTGCTGTTCAGTGTTCTTTCTATTATCATAGGTTGTTTCTTTTTATATACTGATGGGATGTTTCGATTACCTGAAAAAAATCCCATACCCATTGACAGCCATTTCCAAGATCCCTGAGTAGGTTGTATTGTCAGAAGAAATTGTTTTCACAATTAGAGTCAAGAGCAAATTTGGAAATTTGTTTTTCTTTCTGGTGTGAATGTTCTAAAGCTGATTCTGTGCTGACTTGCTAACACGGTGCTCTGTTTTCCGGTTAGCACTTTTCGTTTTTTAGGATCCTACTGAGCACGAGGAGAGATTAGTTCCGAAGTGGCACCTTGCTGTCATTTCAGGGCTGATCCGGGAACGTCTGTCCCCCAGCAACTCTAGGAACTACTCGTTTCCATTTTTAATTCTTTCTTGAGACATTGGAATCTGGCAACTTTATATACCATATCTAAAGAATAAATAAGAATATTATGTAATTGTAAAAATCTTAGTTTCATTAACCAAAAGATAAATTTCTAAGTGTTATTGAAAAATAATGAAAATCATTTTAAGTTGTACTGTGTATCATTATGCCTTGGTTAATTTTCTTGCTTTTGTTATTTACTTTGTTTGGGGACAATTTTATAAAACATTTTTCTTTGCTCAAATCTTCATTTTCATTTTCTAAATTCAAAGCTACCTTAATAGTTTCTTAGAGTTTGCATTGTAAAAATGTATTTCTACTTATGGAGCTGTTTAGATGTTTTGTTGTATGATTAGACATTGCAACTTGTAGTTATGAAATTAAAATACTTAATTTGGCATTAAGCCTGTGAGTACAAATAAAATTTTAAAAATTAAAAATGGAACTGAAGGAGGGAGGGATAGGAGAGCAGGGTGGGAAGTATTATTATGCTCTTAAAGCAGCATGCATGCAAAAAATGAGTAGATATGCAGGTAAACAAGTAGATACTGTATAAACGTGTATTAATTGTATGTATACAGTGAAGGCAAGTATACCACAATGTGTATCGTCTACTTGTGACAGTAGGGTGCTGGACTGTCTACAGTTGTCACTACCTACAGTGTCTTGATACACTTAACAGAAGGATAGACTTAGGACAGTTATTGAAGGACCATATTATTGTTACAATATAGGGAATATCAGTGGGGAGGAGAGAGGGTGAGGGAAGGTGATATGTGGAAATCCCAGAGCCTATGCAACTGTATCATGAAAAATAAAAATTAAAAAAAATTTTTAAAGAAAAGAACAAATTACAGGAAATTTGTTCTTTATGTAAATAAAAAGTATTAAAAAATGCTTAATTTGCATTAATCTCTTTTCAGATTCTCTGCAATGACTGTAATGGACGATCCACAGTCCAGTTCCATATTCTAGGCATGAAATGCAAGATTTGTGAATCCTACAATACTGCTCAAGCTGGAGGACGTAGAATTTTAGGGATCACCAGTGACTGACTTAGGCCTCACCAGAAACGTCGGCATCTTCCGTCACTGAAACGCATTCCTTAGTATTCTGTTGTCGTATTGTGTCATACTCTTGGCTCTGTTCCAGTTGATGTGTTTTGTACTAGAGTCACAACATACCATCAATCATATTATACATACTTAAGAATTCTACGTGTCTATAGAATGAATTGTAGCTATATCTGGGATAAAAGCCAGTGTTCTTGTAGCTTGATTGGAAGTTCTTTTAATGTCAGTCATTTGAAAATCAATGATGTTTGCCACTGATACATTCTTACAGAAATACGTTCAATTTGGTGGAACTTTAAGTGACACTCTGCACATAAACTTCATTTCTGGTTCTTGATAAAGATGCACTTAATTCCCAGTAGTATTCTTGACTTTCAGGGCCGTACAGTGAGAACAAATTCTACTTTATTAAAATCTAATTACATGGATTAAAAAATTTTTAAGACAGTCATTTAGTGTCTGTCTATACATGAATTCTGGTGTAATAAATGCTAATAAAATTATATTAAAACATTTATATAAATCTTTTCAAACTTGTTTGTTTCTGGCTCAGAGTTTAATAAGTTTTATGATATAAAATTTTATTTTTTTGAGATATTCTTCTGTAAGAGTAGACGGAAAAATGTTGTATAAAATAATAGTATTCTTGGGCCTGGCACAATTCCCCTGAGGTTTAATCCTTGATTTGCATGCACCAGGATCCCATATGGATGCCAGTTCATTTCCTTGGATGCTCCACTTCCCATCCAGGTCCCTGCTTATGGCCTGGGAGAGCAGTGAGGGATGGCTGAAAGCCTTGGGACCCTGTACCTGATGCTTGGAAGCAGTTCCTGGCTCCTGGGTTCAAATCAGCTCAGCTCCAGGCATTGGCGGCCATTTGGGGAGTGAATCAGTGGATGGAAGGTCTTTCTGTCTTTTCTCTGTATATCTGCCTTTGCAGTAAAAATAAATAAATCTTTAAAAAATAATAAAAACAGGGAGAATCAAGATGACAAAATAGGGTAAGGACGTGTTTAAACAGACTGATAAACAGGCAGTGTGAAGCAGAGAGGGCACATTTGTGGAAATAGGAGAGGACAGAATGACAGCAGAGGGACACTTGGAGACTGACAGACACAGGAAGACAGTGGACACAATGGTGTGGTGTTGCATTGACTGATACCCCAGCGGAATTCAGCGAGTGGCGATCGGCAGCCGAAACTCCACCAGCATCAAGGTGGGAAGCGACATTCACCAGGGGTTCACATTCTTTTTTCTTTCCGTCCTGTATCTGGGGGAATAGGGGAGATAAGGAGAGAAGCCACACCCAGCTTCCCAAACGCCTCTGCATCCTGGGATGGAGGACAGTCGCATGACACCACCCCAGGGTCCCTATTGTGGGGCATGCTGTGAGGGTCCTGCTCATGAGGTTTTGATAGTTCAACAGTTCCAAATTACCGGAAGTAATTCGGAAAAACCAATCTCACCACTCCAAGCACGACGAAATCGCTCCAGAATCCATTGGTTGACATAGTCCATCCTAGAATCTGTCTGCCTGGATATTCACTGCTAACACTTGGCCGGGGTAATTGAGCAATTTGTTCTGTCCTCTGTTGTACCAGGTGCCCTCCGCAGTCTGCAGTGTACTGCCGTATCCTCCATGTGCACCTGGATATGCTGTCCACTGCTCTGTCTGAGCCTCTGAGAAGGCCCAGCTCTGACTCATGCATTGCACGGGTAGACCATGGAACCTGCAATTCTTTTCATGGATGAGGTTCAGTTGGGGGGATTCCCAAAGAAGCTTTGTCTGAGGTAATCTCACACCTGATTCTTGTGTGTGCTTGCCAGTACAGGCTCAGACACAGCCTGTCACCCAAATCAGTTTGTATATATGTTGGTAGTTGCGATTGCTGGGTCAGTTCTGTCTCTAGCCCTGTCTTCTACATAAACCAATGGGTGTTGGTGTCCAGCCCAATCCTGCCCACAACATACTTGGTCCTCCTGCAAACCAGTGGGAGCTGCAGCCTACTTGAAGCGATCCACCATACCCCCATCAAGCCTGCCCCCTGCCCTGGTTCCCATGCTTGCTAGTATGTACAACAGATTGATCCAGTCTGTCCCACATCCCATTCTGCTTTCACACATGCCAATGAGCATTGAAGCCTAGTTCAATCCAAGCAACCCCACTATCCAGCCCACACAAGTGCTGGTGGGTGCCACTCTGTCTAGCCATGCCTGCCCCAGTCCTGGTTCTCATGCTCACAAGTGTGAATGTGACAACCCAAGAGGGAGGTGCCCATTGTTTCCATACTGGGCCCACTCGTACTCCTGGATCCTGAAATTTCCGGGTGGTTCTGCAGGTTAACTTGACAGAATCATTCAACAGTTGTCAGCATCTGCCAGCTGATGCTGTGGCAAAGCCCAACCAATCCACACCCACTCTGACTTATGCATGCACCAATAGGAACAGTCAACCCCTGTCTGGCCTCTCTCTGATCCAGCTCAAATGAGGCCAACAGATGTTGTAGCCCTGCCTGGTCTAGTCTGCTCCTATCCCAACCCACACTCTCCAGTGGGAGTGGTGGTCCATCAGAGAAGCCCCATGCAGCCCCCCTACCAGCTTTGGCCCCTCTCTGCTCCCCTCTCCCCGGCTGTCACGTGTGCTGGTTGGGTGTTGTGGCCTGGTCTGCCATGCCTCACCTCACCTCAGTATTTGCCAGTGGGTGCTGCAGCCTGGCCGGGCCTGGGCCACCCCAATTCCAGCTCATGCTGGTAGGGGCTACAGCCTAGCCCAGCCCATCTGGCCTCCAGTCCTGGCCCTCATATGAACTGCATGTGTTGTGACTGAACCCAGACCAACCTACACTCAATTCTGGTGCTCGGATTCACCAGCGGGTGAGATGAACTGGTCCTGCCTGGTTTGCCCCAGACCTATGTCAAATGTGTGCTGCTGGGTAACATACCCTGACCTGGTCTGGGCTGTTCCCTATTGTGGTTCTTGTGCTCACCTGCAGGGACTATGTCCCAACAGAGGGGTTTCCCTACTTCCTCCATCGGAACCTCTTTCAGTGTCCGATCCTGCACATACCAGTGAATCCATGGGCTAGCCCTACTTAGCCCACCTTCTGTCCTAGCAGGAACAGTGGCCTTTCCTGACTGGCTTTCAACCCATTCCAGTTTTTATTGTTGAGTATTACAGCCCAACCTAACCTGGTCCATACCCAGACACAGCTCACACCTGGCTCAGCAGGGGCAAACACCTAGCCTAGCCTGTCCTATACCTACTCTGGTTCTCACGAGCACCAGTGGGTGCTGGAGTCTAGCTCAGTCTGGCACACCCCAAACTCAGTCCATACTTGTGCTGAAGGATACTGCAGCCATGTCCAGACCAGAATGCAGCTCCTACTCTGGTCTCCATGGTCACTAGTGGGACCCACAAGCAAGCAAGAGCATCCCATTTGCTCCCCAACCAAGCCTGTTCACACCCATAGAGCTTGTATGTGCCAGTGGTTGTTCTGACCCAGCTTGGCATAGACCCTCCACTGTTTTGGCCTTTGCCTTTGGATGCTGTAGCCTGCCCTCAGTCCCAACTCTCACTGGTAGATGCTGCAACAAGGCTCTGCTTAGTCTACTCCCATCCCTGGATTGTGCAAACTAGTAGGTGTGATAGATTAGCCTGGCATGACCTGTGCTCCAGCCTGTTGTTTTTTTTTTTTTAAGATTTATTTTATTTTTATTGGAAAGGCGGATATACAGAGAGGAGAGACAGAGAGGAAGATCTTCCGTCCGACGATTCACTCCCCAGGCGGCTGCAACGGCTGGAGCTGAGCCAATCCGACGTCAGGATCCTCTTCCAGGTTTCCCACACGGGTGCAGGGTCCCAAAGCTTTGGGCCATCCTCGATTGCTTTCCAGGGCCACAGGCAGGAAGCTGGATGGGAAGCAGGGCTGCCGGGATTAGAACCGGCTCCCATATGGGATCCCTGGCATGCAAGGTGAGGACCTTAACCATTGCGCCATTGCGCCGGGCCCTCCAGCCTGGTTTTTGCACTTGCCTATGAGCTAAGATTTGTTTAGTCCTGCCTGGTCTGCCTCCTTCCAAAACCAACCTACAAGAAAGCCAACAGTTGGAGCTACCTTGCTTACCTAACCCCCAGGTCTGGACCATCACCACCCCAACTCTTGAGCTAACCAGCATGACTTGTATTTCCACAGGGTTGGGCCCACAGATCCCCCACAAAATCTACTCTTGGACCTGGTTTGCTTGTGCGCTGGTTAGTGTCATGACCCTGTGTAACGTGACCCATCCCCTGTTCCAACACCCACTCAGGCACTGGGATCTAGGCTTGCTAGACAGGTCCCCAGCCCCAGCCTTTGTGTGGACTGTCGTGTGTTGCTCAGCAATGTTCCATGCCAACAAACCTTACTCAGGACTCCAATGTGGGTTGATGTATCAGTCTGACCCACATAGATCCTCTGGTCTCCCCTGTCCAAACTGCCATGTCTCAGTCCCCTTACCTATTTGCAAGCACAGGGATCCTGTAGTTGGAGTCCCTCAAGATTCATTCCTCACCTACATGCACAGTGGCCTTATCCATGGGTGTCCCTAGGCAGCAAGTCCACACCCTCAAGACCCCAGAGTTTGCTGTCGAGTGGCCAGTGGGCAGAGCACGGCGCCAGTTGATGCTCTGGCTGCCTGCAAGCTGAGGATGGCAGTGGAAGGCGGAGCCAGGGACCAACCAGAGCTCCTGAGAGATTCCTTTACAGTGTACTTACCATGAAGGGTGAAACTTCTTGGGCCCAGGCAAGAGGCTGGGGCTAGGACCCCAAGCACTGAGTCTGGCCTGGCTCCAGAACCTCCAGCACCGCCTCCTCCCACCCCCCACGCTGCTGGGAGCTCCCTCTACCCAAGCTTCAGAGTTAGAGGAATGTTAAACACTTATTCTGATCATCAGTACAGCAGGATCGTCTGCTCCTGAGATAAGACAGCACTATGTGTCTCTGAGTCAGGTCATACTGCCACAGAAACGGTGTCTGTAGTTGCAGTTTTTTTCTCCTATTTATTTTTAATTTTATGATACAATTCTATAAGCTGTAGTTTCAGTATTTTGAAAGCTAGGAGCAAATATATTTGTGAATTACTTGATAGGTAGTAGCACACTGGCTTCTTTTATTATTAAGGAAAAATATGTCAAGATTTTCATTTTTTAAACCTGTTTTCGATGTCTGGTATCTTCTTAACCAGTACAGGAAGCTCAGGGTGATAATAACTTGGGATTATTTCTGAAGGCTAATATATTTGTGGCATCACAGATTTTAAGATTAAGCTCAATTTTTATTCTTGCATGAAAAGCTATCTTCATTTTGTATACATATTTAATTTTTTCTGTCTTTTAACTTACTTTAAGCCAAAACAAATTTCTAGCTCCTAAAGGTCTAACTTTACAAATACCTGACACTTAATAGCTGTTCACTAATTGAATAGGTTAATTTGAAATGAGTTCATTAGTTTTAATGATAGATGCCACGTTTTTCTTAA